CGGCATCCCCCCGCGTACCGTTTCAGGCCCCCCCCCTCCTACCTTGAGGCGCCCCAGCAGGTCTCCGCACTTGCCCAGGTTGAGGTTCTTGCGGTTCCACTCGGCCCGCAGCTGCTCGTACATGCCGGCCGCTTCCTTCAGCCCCGCGGCGCCCGCGTCCGCCCCGTTCAGCACCGGCCCTCCGGCCCCGGCCATCGTCGCGACGACTGCCGCCGCCGCCATGAGTCGGCAAACCAGGCGAGGGAGCACGACCGGTCGCGCTTTACGGCCGTCGCCGCCTTCCCTCCCCGCCCCCTTGTCCCCATGGCAACCGCCCTCCCAATCAGACGCGCGCTTCAGTGACGCGCCAACCGCCCCCCTCCCCCACGACCGGTTCACGCACGCGCGGGGTGGAATAACCGCTCTGGAGCGAGCGCAGGCGTTGGGTGGAGTGGGCGCAGGCGCAGGGGTGGGAGGGAGAGCGCGTGACGTAACCAGAAAGGGTTAGGGAGGCGAGAGGAGGAAGAGGCGATATGAGGAAACCGCGGTGCGGGCGGGTCGCGAGGCGCCGTGACGTCACATGCGAGTGGGCGGGCTCAGGGCGGCCTGCGTCGTGACGTTACGGACGGGGTGACGTCACCAGGCGAACGGCGACACCCGCCGCGGCTTGCCTGGCTGGCCTTATTTGAATGCGTGCCGAATTATTTTTTTAAAAACACGTCAACCACTTTGAAGGGCGGGGGGGGGCGGGGGAACGAAGTCGCGCCAGTCACGTGATCTGCCCCGAGAGGGGGCGGAGTCGCGAACCGCCGGAGAGCCCCGCCTGGTTGCCGCAGGTGCTTGGGCGGGGCGCTGTGACGTCATCGCCTGTCAGGTGTCAGGAGCCGACCCGGGATCATCAGCGCGTGAGGCCCGGATGTCACCTGGCCGCAGGTGGATGAGGCAGTGCCTTGCATCGCCAGGGATGCTATGAGGGGCCACGTGGCTGTGGTTTCCTGGGACAGGCGCTGCCTGGCCGGCCTCCTTGTGAGCAACGTAGATACCTCCTCAGCAGGGCCGGATTTAGACTTCCTGAGGCCCTAAGCTATAAAAAACCCAGAGGCCCCCTACTGTTTTAAATTACATCAGCTGGTCTCAGAAAAATTTAAAATATATACGCCTTTTTAATATTTGAAAACTTTTTTTATATTTTGTTTTTATTCGAGGCCCCAGCAGATTGCGAGGCCCTAAGCTGTAGCTTATTTAGCTTACGGCACTGCTCCTCAGCAGTGCTCCCTCTAAGCTGTGGAGTCTTGTGAGCAAAACCGTCTACTTTGTGAGCTCCTGGCATGAAAGTGGTGAGCCGGCGATTTGGCTGCTGCATCAGTTAGTTTGCTCTGGAGGCCTCCTTCTTGAGCTCAGACAAAAATGTGTGAGCTGGAGGCTAAGAAACTGTAAGATAGCTCACACTAACTCAGCTTAGAGGGACACACTGCTCCCCAGTAATTGAGCAAGGTTGGAGTCCAGTGGCCCCTTTAAGACCAACAAAGTTTAATTCTGGGTAGAAGCTTTTGTGTGCAGGTACACTTCTTGAGATACCAGTAATCTGAGAACCAGTGTGGAGTCTAGTCAGGGGCAGATTAACCATTAAGCAGACTAAGCACATGCTTAGGGCACCAGGGCCAAAGGGGGCACCACAAAGTTGGGGAAAGGGTAAAAAGAAAAAAAAGAATGGAAGATTTGTAAACCCTAAGCGTTCGTGAGTCGCTGCTCACTTCTTTGGGTATTCACGGAAGCTCACACCCTACCACAAATCTGGTTTGCTCTTGGTAGTTCTGCAGTGGTTGGTATTCCTTCTGGGACATGATACTTCTCCACACTTCAGAGTGGAAAAGGGTGAAAGTTGGCATTTTCCGCTTGAACCCTGTTTGGAATCTAAACAAGTGCTTATTCTTGTTACGTGACTGATGCTTCAGAGACCCACTAGCGGGCACCCCAAACCCAGCATAATTTTATATCTCCCCCCCAACCCCCCAGAGGCTGAAACTTCCTATTTATTTATTTGCTTATGGATTGCATTTGTGGGAGGACCCAATTTGGGATTGAGATGGTGAAAGAAAGTTTCACACTCTGACCTTATATCCCCCCCCCCCCCAAGGGGGCCCTGTGGGGGCTTCAACTTTCACCACACCACAATTTAAATTGGGTAGGTCCTGTGGGTCTCAAATGGAATTGGCTGGATCCGGACCACAGGTCTGGACTGTGACGTACCCCACGCAGGGAGCAGTCACAGATAAAAGTTCCTTGTAGAGAAGGGTCAGATTACTTTATGGTGCTATTTACGAAGTATGGCCCAACTGCTTCAAGCAAGCAAGTGCATTTTCTTGATGCGTAGGAACCAGCAAACGAAAAGGGTGTGTTATTTCCGTGGTAGGGAACCCTGGCAAGAAAGACTCCTTGTCATAGCCGCGCAGTGCTTTATGGTTCCTTACAGAGAGCCAGTTTGGTGTCGTGGTTAAGTGCGCGGACTCTAATCTGGGAGAACCGGGTTTGATTCCCCACTCCTCCACTTGCACCTGCTGGATGACCTTGGGTAAGCCATAGTTCTGCCACAGCTGTTCTTGAAAAAGAGCAGTTTCTGTCAGAGCTCTCTCAGCCCCACCTACCCCACAGGATGTCTCTTGTGGGGAGGGGAAGGGAAAGGAGATTGTAAGCCGCTCTGAGACTCCTTTGGGTAGTGAAGGGCGGGGTATAAATCCAATCTCTTTTTCTTCTCTCCAACACTTGCAGCTGCTGGTGTGACCTAGGGTCAGTCACAAGTTCTTTCAGAGCTTTTCTCTCAAGAGCCGTTCTATCAGAGCTCTCTCAGCCCCACCTCCCTCACAGGGTGTCTGTGGTGGGGAGGGGAAGGGAAAGGAGATCGTAAGCCGCTCTGAGACTCCTTTGTGTAGTGAAGGGCGGGGTGTAAATCCGATGTCTTCTCTCCTCCACTTGCAGCTGCTGGTGTGACCTTGGGTCAACCCATCCAGTCCAATACTCTGTGTCACACAGTGGCCAAAACCCAGGGGCCATCAGGAGGTCCACCGGCAGAATCAGAACTCCAGAAGTTATCCCATTGTTGCCCACCCAAGCAGCAAGAAGACAGAGCATCACTACCTCATACAGAGTGTTCCCTCTATACCTTGTGGCTAGTAGCCACTGATGGACCTTTGCTCCATATGCTTTGTAACGATTCCTTGTTTTAAGAGTGTGTGTGTCTCTTTAAATGTTTGGTTGCAATCAAGGCTCCCTCTAAGCTGCAGAGTGCGGTGAGCAAAAATTCCACTTTTTGAGCTACTGGCGTTAAAGTTGTGAGCGAGCAATTTAGCTCCTGCGTGAATCAGTTTGCTCTGGAGCCATCTTTCCTGAGCTAGGACCAAAAAGGTGTGAGCTGGAGGCTAGAAAACTGTGAGCTAGCTCACACTCACTCAGCTTAGAGGGAACACTGGTTGCAGTGTAGTGAATGCAGAGTAGAGTGATTGAGAGAGACAAGTGTGCTGTGATTGGAGGATGAGAGAGTGTGGGAGGAGCTTTTAAAGTGGATCTGTGTGAGTGTCAGTCAGTTAGGGGAGACAGTTGAAAAAAACGAGTTTATTTATTTATTTATGGTTTCGGCTTGTATCCCGCTCGAACCCCGAGGGGTCTCTGAGCGGCTTACACAGTTATTTGTTCCCTAACTAAGGCCACAATCATGAGGGGGGCTGGCTTCCTACCAGCACCTGGCAGCGAGGCCTCTTGCTGATGTCTGGCCTTCTTCAGCGGCCTCAGACGTTGGCGCTCTCCTTCCGTGTCCCGGGCCAGATCTTCTCCTGATTCCGCAGCTCCTTCTCTCGGCGGGGCTCCTCCGGTGTGCGGCCTGTGGCCGCCGTAGCTCCAACTATCATCCTTTCCGGCTCCGTTGCGCTACGCCGACGTGCTGCCGCACCTCCGTCCATTGAAGTTGTCCAGTGGAAATTCAGTCAGTGAGAGAGTTGAAAGAATCTGTGTGGGATCCGAGAAGGATCAGTATATGTTTATTAAAGTGATACAGTTGACAAGCTCATTTACAGGAACCATATTCCCAACCAGTTACATAATAACCAACCTCTTATTTTGTTCCCCTTTCAATAAATCCTCATTTATTTAAGCTAATCCCAGAAGCAATGTTCCCTCTAAGCTGTGGAGTCTTGTGAGCAAAAATTCTACTTTGTGAGCCACTGGCATTAAAATTGTGAGTGAGCGATTTGGCTCCTGCATGAATTAGTTTGCTCTGGAGCCCTCCTTCCTGAGCTAGGGGAAAAATGTGTGAGCTGGAGGCTAAAAAACTGAGCTGGCTCAAACTAACTCAGCTTAGAGGGAACACTGCGTCATATCAATTATTCCTCAGGACCACAGAGACCCTTGAAAGCCTAGACCCTGGGTGACAATACCGACATAAGAAGCTGAGAGAGGATGTGGAATTTAGAAAATTCCTGGTGGCAGCCAGAATTACCTATTTTATAAACACCCAGAATGATTTAAAGAGAAACCTAGTCCTCCCCAATAGGTGGTTGTCACATGCTTATATGTTTATTCCACCATCTAATTCAGCTCCATATGTTGAATCAGCGTTCTACGCAGATCCCCTACGTCTCCATAACTTACCATGGACAAGGTGTGTTGCGCTTTAAAAATAAAACTGCCATTTTTGTCTTGGGTCAGTGATCCTGATGAAATTGCCCGCTTTCTTGGAATGCGGGGTGGGTGCCCTAAGGAACATTGCTCAGAAGAACCACAGGTGTTATGTCAAAGCTGCATGCGTCTGCCAAGCCACTGACTGCGTGGGTTAGTGCATCCGGTTAGGATCTAAGAGATCTAGGTTCCAGTCCTCACCCTGCCCTCAAGTTCACTGGGTGGCCTTGGGCCAGCCAGCCTCTCTTAGCCTAGCCTACCTCACAGGATTGTGGTGAGGACAAAATAAAGCAGAGAAAATCACGTGAGCTCCCCAGGAGGAACAGCAGGCTAAAAAAAGATACCCGATGTTTGACGGCTTCAAGAGGGAGTTGGATAAACATATGGAGCAGAGGTCCCTCAGTGGCTATTAGCCACAAACAAGGTATAGATAGGAACTCTCGGCTTGGGCCAAGTGATGCTCTGTATTCTTGGGGATGGGGGAAACAGTGGGAGGGCTCCTGGTGTCCTGGCCCCACTGCTGGACCTCCTGATGGCCCCTGGTATTTTTGACCACTGTGTGACAGAGTGTTGGACTGGAGGGGCCACTGGCCTGATCCAATATTGGCTTCTCTTATGTTCTCTTGTGTTCTTATGTCCCCCCCCCCCAGTTTTTTGTAGGCTTTTTCTTACACAGCATTCATGATGTGGCCTCCCTCTGTGCTGAACTCCGTCCTCCTCCTCCTCCTGTTCGTTAAACGTTACATGCTGCAAGACTGCACGTGGACAGTCGTGGTCAACCAATTCGACGGCCTCGGCTCCAGCCGAAGTCTGTTCATTGAGCAGCATGAAGTTAGGCAGGTGGCCACTGTCTTTAAGGATATGGGGGATTCTGCCATCGATCCCAGTGACAAAAACGCTGTGAGTACCCGTGGGAGAAAGTCATGAGGATGAGGTCGGCAATATTTGAAGCTTTGGTAGCAGATTCCCCAGTAGGGGTGTGCAAAAAAAAAAAGAAGCCGGTATTTTCCGGCTTCGAGTAAATCACTCGGGTAAGGTATTCGGATTGGGGAAATATTCGGTATTGCCGAACGATAATGTGCAGGGCTGAGTTACACCACCAGATGGAAAGGAGGCATGTTAAAATGCCTTCTTTCCTGCTGGTAGCCCCTACAGATATCCCTGTCAATTTCACTCCCTGCTAATCAGCTGAGAGTGAAATTGACAAGGGAAAGCCTCTCTCTGCCTTCCCTTCTCTAGCTGATATGTCCTAGCTGGAAAAGGGCAGGCAGGGAACTTGAGGAGGGAAAGAAAGGTCAGTTTGGTGTAGTGGTTAAGTGCACGGACTCTAATCTGGGAGAACCGGGTTTGATTCCCCACTCCTCCACTCGCACCTGGCTGGATGACCTTGGGCAAGCCATAGTTCTCTCAGAGCTGTTCTTGAAAAAGAGCAGTTTCTGTCAGAGCTCTCTCGGCCCCACCCACCTCAAAAGGGTGCCTGTTGTGGGGAGGGGAAGGGAAAGGAGTTTGTAAGCCGCTCTGAGACTCCTTTGGGTAGTGAAGGGTGGGATATAAATCCAATCTCCTCCTCCTCCTCCTCCTCCTCCTCTTCTTCTTCTTCTTCTTCTTCTTCTTCTTCTTCTTCTTCTTCTTCTTCTTCTTCTTCCGCATGCCCCCCCGCACTTCCCCGAGTCTCTCCACAAAAGCAGAGAGGCTCAGGAAAGAAAGGGGGCACGTGTGCATGCCTGCCTTCCCTTCCCCAGCCTGTCCATCATGGCAGGCAAACTGGAGAAAGAGGGCTGGCATGCAGACAATCAGCCTGTGGGGAGAGCTTAAAGTCAAGACATGGGAATAACCTTCCCTTCTGTCTCCTTGTCCTCCACCCAGGACGCTTCCAGGATTAGGCTGAATGAATGGGACCATTCAGTTCTGCGTTATGACCAGTGTGGCTGGATCACTTCCGGTTCCAAAGGTACTTGGAGGTGTCGTTCAGGTCTGAGGGATGATACTTCCCTTCTTCCTTCTCTGTTGATTTGTTAAAGCGGAATCAGTTCTGGGACCCATCAAGAGGTTCTTTGTACCGTCCGGTGTGCACTTTTTGAATAATCTCTGCTGCAGCATGCCTTGCAATCGCGAGGGGCCTCTCCACGCCAGAAGAGATGACAGGCCCATCTGATTTACTGCTTGTGGAGTGACGGGGAGAAGTACCCCTTAGCGGAATGCTAGCCATCTGTCCGTGAGAAGAGACAAGCAGCGGCACAGCTGGATCCAAAAGGTTCTGATTCTAGACCCAGACATTCTTGAGGGTAGGACGCCATTTGCAAGCCTCTGGAGAGGCGGGAGATGAGTTTCCGAAGTAATAAATTTTCGGAATAGATTTGAATCCCAGCTGCCCTGACCGGGTACCCCCCGGCTATCTCGATCTCATCAGATCCCAGAAGTTAAGTGGAGTTGGCCCTGGTCAGTGTTTGGATGGGAGACCTCCAAGGAAGTCCAAGGTTGTGACGTGGAGGCAGGCAATGCAAACCAACTCTGAATGTCTCTTGCCTCGGAAACCCTGTGGGGTTGCCATAAGTCATTCATGACATGATGGATCTCAGCTAGTCTCGTTTATTTAAGGCTTTGATCAATGTTAAGCTGTTTGCCCAGCAGGCGATAAAAGCCGTTTGTGAAATTCTGTGTGCTCCCAAGTGGAAATAGGTCCTGAAATAACTTACCTCTTTTTTTCAGCATTACTTTGGATTTCCATACTACCTGAAAATTAACCTGACTTGCCAAGAACAGGTAAGAAAAGAGGTTGGACCAGGAAGATAACGGACTCTAATTTAAAGGACAGTTCCCTCTGTTCTCCTGTTGCTAGAATAACATGCATATCTTCATGGTGAGAAGAGACTTGTTTTCAGCTTCTGCCTTTCACATGGTTTTAAAATCCTAAACTCTGTCATTATGGGCTTTTCTGCATTGTCATTTTACTTGCTTGTAAGTTCCTATTTCTTCAGTGTCCCCCCTCCCGTTCGGCGTGTGTTTTGCTCCCTCTAGTGGTTGATTCAATATTACACCAATTTATGTTCGGCATAAAAACCTGCAGTTTACATCTGCAGGGAGATATACTGGATGTAAACTGGCGTAATATCGAATTAGCCAGTAGAGGGAGCAAAACACGTGCAGAACAGAACCCGCCCCCACTGAAGAAACAGGAACTTACAAGCAAGGAAGATGAGAAAGCGGAAAGCCCTACTTCTATTCCCCACCGGTGGGGCGTTGCCAGTGAGATGCATGGGGAAACTCACACGGAATAGATCCACCTCCAAAGATGAATGAAAGCAGACAAAGACACGTGTGGCAATTTTGATGTAAGGCTCCGAGGCCACCACCCCCGTTTGATGTTGATTGCGCCCCTCCCCCATTCCAGAACTCCGCACGAGCCACTCGGACAGCGCACTACACCGGTATGATCCCAGTGGTGACCGTCACTTTTCAAGAACCCATCCACCCTGTGCGTCAGAAACGAGAACAGCTGCAGATCACCATGAATGCTGCACCGTACCGACTTAAAGGTACTTTTACCCGTCAGGGTGCAGTCACGCAGGATCCCGATTGGCAGAAGTAACAGGAAGACACGGAGGGAAATTCAAAAGATACTTCACTGAGAGCTGCGGTTGCTGTTTGTCAAAACAGGCTTGCCATGGTAGAGCAGTGTCAGACTCCTGGATAAATCAGTTTCCAACCACATCCACTCTGAAGAATGAAAAGTTTATCGAGGCATTGATAGGATCCAGCCTGTACACTGGCTGTGTTAGAACTAAGGTTAAAGGTGTGAAAGCAATACATATACAGGGTTCAAGCAAGGGCCATAAAAGGTTTAGAACCAATCACCCCTGGGGATTTCACCTGCCAAATGTAACGGCCATCCACCCCCCTTTCAGTGCCATCCCCCCCAACATGTAGAACAATAGCAGGCTTGGAAAGATGAGACTCGAGGACACTAAAAGTTCTCAGGATATATAAGGTGTCTGACACGTCAAAGCAACCTAGGAAGTGAAATGGCCCTGCATTCTTCCCCTCCCCGGTTGCTATGGCAAAGGAGCTGTAAAATGTAAAATGAACATCGAGTTTGACAAGCAGCTGTCTCCGCAGGAAGCAGAGTTTGACCCAATCCTGCAGGAGGTTCTTCTGCCCTAAGTTGCCTGAGGAGGGACTTCCTACTATGCTGCAAATGTCCCGGGATTCTGGGGCCCTGGAAAAACTCAAGGACGGTACCTCAGAAACACTCAGGCAGCATGGATGTGAGAGCCACCAGCTGTAGGATGGTGGGGGCTATCAAACCACTCTATAATCGATTTCCTTCCCCCCTTCTCAGGCAATCGGGATCAGTTGTAATAGAGCAGTTGCCTCCCCCCACTGCCCTAGATCTGATAGGATAGAGTAGGTAGAGAAAGAAATCCTTTTCTCCCTTTCTCACAATACAAGAACCTGTGGGCACTCCGTGACATTAACGAGCAGGAGGCTTAGAACAGATAAAATGAAGTTCTTCTTCACCCAAAGAGTAATTAACACATGGGATTCAGTGCTGGACAAAGTGGTGGCAGCTACAAGCATAAACAGCTTCGAGAGGGGATGGGATAAACATGTGGAGCAGAGCGAGGTCCATGAGTGACTATTAGCCACAAGGAATAGATGGAACACTCTCTGGGGCAGTGATGCTCTGACTTCTTGGTGCTTGGGGGGGGGCAACAGGGGGAGGGCCTCTGGAGTCCTGGCCCCGCTGGTGGACCTCCTGATGGCCCCTGGATTTTGGCGACTGTGTGACTCAGAGTGTTGGACTGGATGGGCCATTGGCCTGATGCAACATGGCTTCTCTTATGTTCTTATGCCTGGGGCAGGGATGCTCTGTCTTCTTGGTGCTTGGGGGGGGGGCAACAGGGGGAGGGCCTCTGGAGTTCTGGCCCTGCTGATGGACCTCCTGATGGCCCCTGGGTTTTGGCCACTGTGTGACACAGAGTGTTGGAGTCGGACTGGATGGGCCATTGGCCTGATGCAACATGGCTTCTCTTATGTTCGTATGTCTGAGGCAGTGATGCTCTGTATTCTTGGGGCTTGGGGGGGGCAACAGGGGGAGGGCCTCGGGAGTTCTGGCCCTGCTGATGGACCTCCTGATGGCCCCTGGGTTTTGGCCACTGTGTGACACAGAGTGTTGGAGTCGGACTGGATGGGCCATTGGCCTGATGCAACATGGCTTCTCTTATGTTCTTATGTCTGGGGCAGTGATGCTCTGTCTTCTTGGTGCTTGGGGGGGCAACAGGGGGAGGGCCTCTGGAGTTCTGGCCCTGCTGATGGACCTCCTGATGGCCCCTGGGTTTTGGCCACTGTGTGACACAGAGTGTTGGAGTCGGACTGGATGGGCCATTGGCTTCTCTTATGTTCGTATGTCTGGGGCAGTGATGCTCTGTATTCTTGGTGCTGGGGGGGGGCAACAGTGTGAGGGCTTCTGGCGTTCTGGCCCTGCTGGTGGACCTCCTGATGGCCCCTGGGTTTTGGCCACTGTGTGACACCGAGTGCTGGACCGGACGGGCCATTGGCCTGATCCAGCATGAGTTCTCTTGCAGCATGGGGATCAGTGTCAGCTCTGCAGCGGTGGTGTTTTAGTGAAACGATTGAGGCAGCTGGCTGCAGGGTGGTGGGGGCTCCCAGCATGGCCCCTCCCAGTGTGAGGCTCTCGGGAGCTGCCCAGAGTGGCCCGTGGCGAAGGCCGCCCATGTGTCTCCGGACACCCTTAGAGGGTTTGCTGGACTGTCGGAATGGGTGTTTGAAAAATCCATCACTGCAGCTCAGGAAATCACGGGGTGCCAATGGGAACGGCCTGCTAAGCAGATGGGGGAGAACTGCAACTCCAGAAATGCCAGTTCTTTAAGCTGGGGCTCAGGGGGTCACTGTAATCTTGCGATGAGGGCATCAAAATACATCTGACTGGTCCATAGCTCAATTCTCCCAATCCGTGTCCACAGGGTATGATTTAAGCTTGGCCTCGAGGACCGAGAGTGGGAGGAGTAGGCTGTCGGCCGGTGCCTAGCCACCTCCCCAATTTCGGTGCTCTCCTGCTTTCCAACAGAAGAGGTCAACACGGCCTCCAAGGTCGCTTCCCTGATGTTCGTCCTCTTAGGCAATGCCACAATGAATATTCTTAGCCCATGACACCACCTTTGCAAAAAAAAAAAACCTCAGAGGAGCCTGTAACCGTCCTTGCCAGTCCAGCCACCCACCAAGCACCTTCCGCTTTACGAAAGCATCTCAACTTGGGTCGCCCGGAAGAGATTCCTGCTCGCCATAGGCGACTGGCTGTCCCAGTGGCCAGTCTCAGTGGCTGTTTCCCCTCCCCTCTGCTCTAGGAAAATGCGAAAGCGAGGAGGTTTGTCTGATGTGCTGGATCACGCCCATGCCGATGATGAACGGCAGCGTGATGATGGAAGTCTCGGTGAAGAGCAACGACCTTGGTATCTTGATGGACGAGAAGAGGTGAGGGAGAAGTCTGCAAACCCAGTCAAAACCGTTTCATATCTTGGAGGACTTTTTATACGGAAACCTTCCTCTCTGTCCCCAGGTTCTCCATCAACATCAACGGGTTTGCGAAGAGGGATAAAGAGAAAAGGGAACCCGTGTTCACGATTGGAACAAAGGTAGGGTCATTGCGGATTCCGAAGGGAAGCACGCGGGGTCCTCACGGGTAATGAAGATCCAGCAGCAGCAAAAAAAAAAAAGCCCCCCCCTGTAATAAGACGCTAAATAAATCTGATGATGAAATGAACTTGTGCATGATTATTTTTCTATACCTAATGCGTGAACAATATACAAGGACAAAAAACATAATTTCACTGGGGTCTGTGTGCTCAATTACAAACAGGTGGGTACAGTTTTTATGATTATTTATAAAATTATTGTGGGACCATCAACATCGAAGGATTATTACGGTTCCGTAATAATTATAAAAACGTATACTTTGTTGTTCAGTCGCACAGTCGAGTCCGACTCTTCGCGACCCCATGGACCAGATCACGCTAGGCCTTCCGGTCTTCCGCCGTCTTCTGAAGTTTGCTCAATTTCATCTATGACACTGTCTGACCATCTCATCCTTTGCCATCCCCGTCTTCTTTGACCTTCAATCTTTCCCATCATCAGGGTCTTCTCCAGTGAGTGCTCCCTTCTCCTTTGGTGGCCAAAGTATTTGAGCTTCAGTTTCATTATCTGGCCTTCCAGGGAACAGTCAGGGTCGATTTCTTTTAGGATTGACTGATTTGATCTTCTTGCAGTCCAAGGGACTCTCAGGAGTCTTCTCCAGCACCATAGTTCAAAAGAATCTAATCTATTCTTATACTTACCTGTTTGTAATTGAGCACACAGACCTCAATGAAGCTATATATATATTCCTTGTAATTGTATATTTTTCACATATTAGGTATACAATTTTGTTGTTGTTGTTCAGTCGCACAGTCAAGTCTGACTCTTCGTAACCCCATGAACAACATCATGCCAGGCCCTCCTGTCTTCCACCATATATAAAAATTCATTTTATTATTAGGTTTATTTAGCGTCTTATTACAGTGTTGTTGTTGTTGTTGTTTTGCTATGCTGGCAATGCTCCCTCCAAGCTATGGAGTCCTGTGAGGAAAAATTCTGCTTTGTGAGCTACTGCCATTAAAGTGGTGAGCAGGTGCTTTGGCTGCTGCATAAACTAGTTGGCTCTGGAGCCCTCCTTTCTGAGCTGAGACAAAAACGTGTGAGCCGGAGGCTAAAAAAAACCTGTGAGCTAGCTCACAGTAACTCAGCTTAGAAGGAACGCTGGCTGCCGGAGGGCTGATATCAGCAATCCTTAAACCAAGCCAGTTTGGTGTCGTGGTTAAGTGTGCGGACTCTAATCTGGGAGAACCAGGTTTGATTCCCCACTCCTCCGCTTGCAGCTGGCTGGATGACCTTGGGCAAGCCATAGTTCTCTCAGAGCTGTTCTTGAAAAAGAGCAGTTTCTGTCAGAGCTCTCTCAGCCCCACCGACCTCACCGGGTGTCTGTTGTGGGGAGGGGAAGGGAAAGGAGTTTGTAAGCCGCTCTGAGGCTCCGACTTCTTCCTCTTCTTCCTCTTCTTCCTCTTCTTCCTCTTCTTCTTCTTCCTCTTCTTCTCTTCCTCTTCTTCTCTTCTTCTCTTCTTCTTCTCTTCTTCTTCTTCTTCTTCTTCTTCTTCTCTTCTTCTTCTCTTCTTTTTCTGCAATCTGAGGACTCCCATTTAGATCCCCCCCAACCCCGCATCTAACTAAGGGCCACGCACCAATTGGCCCCTTTGCCTCAGAACTGGAGAGGGAGGTGTTAACTGCCACTTGCTCCTTCCTCCTCCTCTCTGACCCCCCCCCACTTGTCCAGGCAGGAGATGAGTCGTCACCTCCTCAGCCACCTTCCAGCACTTTGCCGAGTTCCGGTGGCCAGTGGAAGCCTCTGTCTCCCCATGAGATGTCAGAGGTCACGGTGGGTGCCTCAGCCACTGTTCTCGGCTTCCCCACACAGCCGTCGCCGCTATCGTGGCAGGCAGTGCCCTGAGAGGGAGCGGTGGGGTTGACAACGTCTAGGTCCTAAATACAAAGAAAGAACCGTGAGCGAATTACGAGAAATATAAATATTCAACAATTGTTAAAGATGCTAATATCAATGTACTCTATTCGTACAGCCGTTCCAACGTCTGTTACGTACGTGTTCAGTCCGTAGTCATTTACAGGAGAATTGTGCATGTGTGGAGTGGCAGTATCGCATGCACGGACGACGTCCTCGCCCCTCTTTGAAAAAGCTTTTTGGAAACGGATGTCCGAAGGCCGGTGGGCTCCGGCAGAGGTGGAACGGCGGTGCCCCTTTTACAGTCTCCACGCACGCACTTTGAAATTGAATGGTCGAAAGGCTCATCTGCCATGTTTTGAAAACAACGGACGGACAACATTTGTCAACGCAAGCGCTTTATTCCTTTAAATATATTGGACGAGAATGGAAATTATTATGGACTGAACGCATATGTTACAGACTTTGGAACTGTTGTATGAATAGAGTACACTGATATTAGTATGTTTAACAATTTTAAAATTTATATTTCTTTTAATTCCCCCCCCCCCCCATATCTAGCTTGTTTCCGTGAATCTGTCTGTGACTATTAACCTCTAGGCCAGTGATGGCGAACCTTTTAGCGACCGAGTGCCCAAACTGCGACCCAAAACCCACTTATTTATCGCAAAGTGCCCAACATGGCAATTTATCCTGAATACTGAGGTTTTACTTTAGAAAAAAACAACTCATACATTAACTTAAGATGATCCAAACAAAGTAAGGAAAGCAATCCCAAATGCTTTCATTTCCTTAAAATTATTTGGCGGAGAATTTTACACTTTAATGATGGTCTGGGCCTGGCTGGGGCGATGGCACGCGTGCCCACAGAGAGGGTTCTGAGTGCCACCTCTGGCACCCGTGCCATAGGTTCGCCACCACTGCTCTAGGTGCTCCCTGGAGATCTCTCACTATTACAATTGATCCCCAGATGGCAGAGTACTTTCCCTGGTGAAAATGGCCGCTTTGGAGGGTGGACTCCGTGGCGTTATACCCTACTGAGACCCTTCCACTCCTCAAAACCCTTTTCCCCCAGTCCCCACCCCCAAAATCTCTGGGCATTTCCCAGCCCAGAGTTGGTAACCTTAGGCCGTGGGTCCACTCTTCCCACCCATTCTGAGGAGATAGTCCGGTGTGACTCGCAGATCTTCTGGAATCTCATCAATAATCTCATCAATAATCATCAATAATCATCAGCACTTCAGATCTGTTCCTTCATCAGGTAAATCTGACTTGCAAGAGATATGGAGCTGTGCCTAACTGGAATATTTTGATCGGGACCTCACTTATATATGGGTATTCAGTGTACGTTAATGAAGACTCACCTTATTTATTTATTTATTTATTTCTTACATTTCTACCCCACCCTCCCGTCGAAGCGGCTCAGGGCGGCTTACAAACAGTTTAAAACCAACATACAGTTAAAACCAACAATTACACATCTATATATCTAATAGCGAAGTGGCCCCCGTGCGTGCGGATACCTAAATACGCGCATCGGGGGCACCTGGGGGGGAGGGAGATGTTTGTGCACACGTGGGGCAGTCCCCAGGTGTGCACAAAAATCTAAAAACCCGGAAAAAATATCGGGGGGATACTTAAATCCCCCCAAAAGTGACAGAGCGTCCCCTGCGCATGCGCAGGGAACGCTCTGTGAACGCTGCCGCCCCTTCAAGAGCAGCGAGGCCCGCCTCGCTTTGGAGCCGGGGGGGAGGCAAGGGGGGCGATCGAGAGGGGGGGTGGGGGGGGGGGGACGGGATGGGTGGGAACTTACCTCCTCCTGCTGCTTCCTCCTCTGCCTCGTGTGTGGAGGTCCCCCCCCCGCGAGTATCGCGGGTCCCGCTCCTTGTATAATATAATACCATAAAATCCCAGCTAATGCCATCCTATGATAAAGTGCCTGACGAAGGAAACGCTGAATCTGGAACTGGGTATCTGAAACGCTGATTATCTGGAACTGGGTAGTTTCCACTTGGAACGGATCTTATTTACTGCAAGCTGCAATGTATAGATGTTTCTTGGACTTCAGTTCAAGGACCTGTGAAAGTTATATAAACAATTCTTTTCCTTGTGTGCTTGTTCTATTCATGAAGGAAGTCTGCCGCTTTTCAGACATGCTGTGGCTTATTGTCTGTAGGCTAGCAGGTCAAGGAGAATGTACGTTCATTTTCTCTCTGGGATGCTTCTGCTAACACCCCCTCCCCATACACATGGCCAGGGAGGAGTGCCAAAAACCCACAGACCACCATGGTTAAAAAAAAACCATTGCTGGATCGTGTTGCATGTATACATTAGGCCTTAATCAGGTCTATTTTTGGGCAGGAACGCACAGGAACGGAGTTCCGGCTGGCTTCCAAGTTGGCCATGCCCAGCAGGAACTCATTAGCATAATAGGCCACACCCAACAGCAGAAACTCATTAGGATTGGCTACATTAGGGGTGTGTGGCCTAACATGCAATGGAGTTCCTGCTACAAAAAAAGGCCCTGTGCTTTGACAACAAACTAGGTAAACAGAATAAGAAGGGAAAGGTGGGTGTGGCTGGATAACCACACTTCTGGTAACATGGGGGTGTGGCCTAATGTGCTAATGAGCTGTGCTGTCAGGGGTGTGGCCCAATATGCTAATGAGTTCCTGCTGGGCTTTTTCTACAAAAAAAGCCCTGGGCCTTATTGTGAAGGACAGAAGCTAACCGTGCCCTTGTGCTCTGCTCTTGTCTCTGGCCTCTGCAGTTGACCAATCTGAAGGACTTCCTGTCCTTAAAGGAGGTGTCGCGTCCTTTGTGGGCCACTTACAGGCAGGCCCCCGTGGTCATCATCGGTCACGTGCCCGACAGCAAGATCATTCTCTTGTCAGACACGGTCTTTGACGATTTCTTCCCGATAGAGGTAAAGAGACAACATGGGCCCTTGCGTGGTACACCTCTGGCCTTTTGTGGATGCAAAGGCCTTCTCGGTGGTGGCTTGTAGGGTGGCTGGCTCTCGGTTTGATGACAGCAGGTTAAATGCAGGTGCTCCTTTGCAGGGTACCTAATTTGCTGGTGGAAGACCTATATTTATTTATTTATTTTATGTATTTTCATTACATTTATACCCCGCCCTTCCCGCGAATGAGCTCAGGGCGGCTCACAGGTCTCCAGCACTGCCTGCTAAAAGGACCATAATAGGAAGCAAACAGGATAGAAAAGCAGGGCTGGCCAGTGTCACCATACCCTGAGGAGGGGCAGCTGCTGGGCCCCATGGCTTCTCGCAGGATCTACTGTGGCCAATCCTCCCCTACCCATATGCCTTCGCTCCCACCCACCGATATGCCCTTCCAGCAGGGGTCATTTCGTAAAAAAAGAGGTACAGGAGCTCATTAGCAAATAAGCATAACTTATTTCGACCGCGGGGGGTGGGGGCTCTGCAGCTTACCTGGCTGCTTCTTGCTCTGACTGAGGGCTGCTGGGAGGAGGGGGTGGGTCTTGTTGCATGTTCCCGCCCCCAGGGCTCTTTACTGCCGGACCTCCGCTCCTCTGCGCTCCCGCAGGAAATGACCCCTGGAAATGAGACTGAGAGCCTCCCAGATGGGGGGTGGCATGGGGCACAGGAGCATCCGGATTCCTAGGCCTTTGACAGAGGATGGGGATGCAAGGGCACCGCGTGGATTTCCCTTGGTGAACGTCCATAGGAGCACCCCCGCCCACCCCCGGTCTCCCCTCCCAAGAGGATTTCCCCTCTGCTGTTTCCCCCCTCCCCCCGCTGCAGGTGGCCATCGACAGCTGCTGGATTGGCTCCCTCTCTTGCCCGCAGAAGAATTTCTCCTCCTCCATCGTGGACACCATCGCCACGGAAAGCACCCTCTTTATCCGACAGAACCAACTGGTCTATTACTTCACTGGAAGTTACAGCGCTTTGCACATGAAAACCTCAGGGTCTGGTACGTGAGCCCGAGGAGACCCGTCCCCCCCCCCCACTGCTCTGAGCCTGGAGACATTTCTCTGACTGCCTGTCCCTTATTATCCTTCCCTTCCCCCAACCCTGTCCAGTTCCTCCAAGGAGCTCAGGGGGGCAGTGTGTGTCTTTGCCCCCCTGCTTGGGATCAGACTGAGAGAGACTGGCTGGCCCAAGGACATGAAGTGAGATTCATAGCTGAGCAGGGGTTTGAACACAGGCTCCTGCCAACCTAGCAGTTCGAAAGCAAGAAATTGCAAGTAGATAAATAGGTACCACTTCGGTGGGAAGGGAACAGCGTTCCGTGTGCCTTGGTGTTCAGTCATGCCGGCCACATGGCCACGGAAACGTCTTCGGACAGCGCTGGCTCTTCGGCTTGGAAACGGAGATGAGCACCGCAACCCTAGAGTCGGACTCGACTGGCTTTCGAGCAAGGGAGACCTTTACCTTTACCTTTTACCTCCAAGTTCCTAGTTTCAGTACTCTTAACCAATGCACTTCACCGGCTACCGGAAGAGAACTGGGCTGGAAGGAGACGCTTAAAAGACAGCAGTGTGTGTGTGTGTGTGTGTGTGTATTTGGGGCTGTGCTGCTCTGGCTGAAAAATGTGTGTGAATTTTCCCCGCCTGTGCTGTTTCCCCCTTAGAAATCCTGTTCCCACCCCCCAAAACCTGTTAATCCTGGAAGGGGGGGGGGGGGAAGATCATATGAGCCTCTGCATTTTCCCCTATCGGGGCTAATATATTTATTTATTTAATATGTTGTCGAAGGCTTTCACGGCCGGAGTTTGTTAGCTGTTGTGGACTTTCTGGGTTGTGTGGCTGTGGTCTTGGCATTGTAGGACCTGACGTTTCACCAGCAGCTGTAACTGGCATCCTCAGACGTATAACACAGAAAGAGGGAGTACTGTCTATGTCTCCACCTTTCTGTGTTATACCTCTGAGTATAATTTGAGCTGCGGTGGCTCAAGTGGTTAAGACGCTGAACTGCAGGCTGTGGAAGGTCAGTACAGCAGTTCGAGACCCGAGTGTGCCGCATGACGGAGTGAGCTCCCGTCTCTAGTTCCAGCTCCTGCCAACCTAGCAGTTCGAAAGCAAGACATTGCAAGTAGATAAATAGGTACCACTTCAGTGGGAAGGGAACAGCGTTCTGTGCACCTTGGTGTTCAGTCATGCCGGCCACATGACCACGGAAACGTCTTCGGACAGCGCTGGCTCTTCTGCTTTGAAACGGAGATGAGCACCGCAACCCTAGAGTCGGACTCGACTGGCTTTCGAGCAAGGGAACCCTTGACCTTTTACCTTTTTTACCTCTTGCCGAGTACTCCCTCTTGCTTTGTTATACCTCTGAGGATGCCAGTCAGAGCTACTGGTGAAACGTCAGGTCCGACAATGCCAAGACCAGGGCCAGACAACCCGGGAAATCTACAACTGCTAATATTTATTTATTTATTTATCACTTCATTTATGGCCCACCTTTCTTGCCGAGACTCAAGACAGATGACAAAATATTTAAAATATTTTTTTTAAATATTCTTTAATTACAATAAATCCCTCCTTTGTTGGGACCTTGGTATGAGCAGGTGAAGCTGCCGTATACTGAACCAGACCTTTGGTCCACCGCTGTCAGTATTGTCCACTCAGACTGGCAGCGGCTCTCCGGGGGTCTTTCACGTCACCTCCTGCCTGGTCCTTCCAATTGGAGATGCTCTACCCCTGAGCCCTCCCAGCACTGCTTTTTGGCGTGTGACTTAACAGATGGCTGCTCTGCCCTCTTTTGAGCTTTTCAGTGAGGAGCCCCTGACTTTTTAATTTTATTTAAAGTCTTTATCGAAATGAAGCAACGTATAACAATCAAAATATATAACAATCCGCATCCAAAATCTTTTCATGTACATAAAGGGCAGTTAGGTAAAGGTCTCCCTTGCCCGAAAGCCAGTCGAATCCGACTCTAGGGTTGCGGTGCTCGTCTCCCTTTCAAAGCCGAAGAGCCGGCGCTGTCCGAAGACGTTTCCGTGGTTATGTGGCCGGCATGACTAAACACCAAGGCGCACGGAACGCTGTTACCTTTCCACTGAAGTGGTACCTATTTAAAGGTAAAGATTCCCTTGCTCGAAAGGCAGTTGAATCCGACTCTAGGGTTGCGGTGCTTGTCTCCCTTTCAAAGCCGAAGAGCCAGTGCTGTCCGAAGACGTTTCCGTGGTCATGTGGCCGGCATGACTAAACACCAAGGCGCACAGAACACTGTTCCCTTCCCACCGAAGTGGTACCTATTTATCTACTTGCAATTTCTTGCTTTTGAACTGCTATTTATCTACTTGCAATTTCTTGCTTTCGAACTGCTAGGTTGGCAGGAGCTGGAACTAGAGACGGGAGCTCACTCCGTCATGCGGCACACTCGGGTCTCAAACTGCTGAACTACCGACCTTCCACAGCCTGCAGTTCAGCGTCTTAACTACTTGAGCCACCGCAGCTCCAACAGTTTGTAACAGTGCTTAAATGAAGGTGGGAACGCTAGAACTAAACATACTTTGACTTACCATCAGTCGTCTATCTGATAACTCTTTTGGGAAGTTACATATATTGAACACTGAAGCATAACAATTCACTATCATGTTTAATGCATTTCTTCTTTTCTCTACTCAGTGGTGCCAGATTTCGAAACATAGGCTATATCGTGTTAGGGACCTGGTGCTTGATTCTAGACAAATTACAAAAATATAGGAAAGCAATAGAAACCGATTGAAGTAACAGTTGAAAGTAAATGTTTTGGTATCTAGTGGTATCCATATTAACCACTGATTTTATATCCATTTGATATAATCATTCCATACAGGTGAAATACATTTTTCATTTGATAGGGCATCCATAATAGGGTACCATTTTGCATTGAAATTGGAATTGGTGGGGTTTCTATTATTTCTGTTGTGCTTATCAGAAATAAGGAGCCCCTGACTTGATTGATTAACTGATTTAGAACATTTTTAATGCTGCCTGTCTGGCTTGCGGTGGCTCGTGTCCGAGGTACCCCCGAGCTTCCGGGAAGCGCCACTGCTTTAAAAAGAAACGTGACTATTCCGGCCCCTCCCCTCCTCTCCCTGACGTCTCTTTAGTGCTGTGGACGCGCATATTGAACAACATGTGCGTGAAGCGGTTGAACCCAGTGGATTTCTCCATAAACAATACCGAATACGTGATCGCACTCGGTGGCGGCTGGCAGGAGGGAGAGTTCTTTCTGATCAGCGTGAAAGGTCGCCCCCCCCCCCCCCCGGCATGATGCACCCTCTGGTCGTCCGCCACCAGTTGCAGTGGGAGCCCCAGAACGTTCAAGCCAGGCTTGAACGGGGCTCAGATGGAGCTGGAGTTGTCCGGCACCTGTGAACAGGTACTGGGCGATTGGTTATGGGTTCCAGAAGACTGGATCCAAAGAACAGAGAGAGCTGCCGGGGCAACAGACGGGTTTATCTGCTCGCTCTTTCAAGATTAGTGTGTATCGGGGGGGTTTTACCCTAGAGATTTGTGATGTTTTGGGGTCTTGTGAAACGGTTGTTGTCGATGCCCCCCATTCAAGCCTGAACTCTTCCTAGAAGCTAAAATGAGTAAACTGAGGCTATTGTACTCTGGTCACATGATGAGAAAACAAGAGTCACAGAAGAAGGAGAAGGAAGAGGAGGAGGAGGAGAAGAGGAAGATAAACAGGAAGAAGAAGAGGAGGAAGAAGAAGGAGAAGAGGAGGAGGAGAAGAGGAAGAAGAAGAGGAGGAGGAGGAGGAGGAGAAGAAGAAGATTGGATTTATACCCCGCCCGTCACTTGGAGTCTCAGAGCGGCTTACAAACTCCTTTCCCTTTCCCCTCCCCACAACAGACACCCTGTGAGGCGGGTGGGGCTGAGAGAGCTCTTTCCAGAACTGTCCTCGAGAGAACAGCTCTGACAGAACTATGGCTTGCTGAAGGTCATCCAGCAGCTGCAAGTGGAGGAGTGGGGAATCCAACCCGGTTCTCTCAGATTAGAGTCCGCGCACTTGACCGCTACACACAGAGACAATCATGCTAGGCAGGGGTCATTTCGTAGAAAAAGAGGTGCAGGAGCTCATTAGCATAACTTATTTGCATGTGCCACACCCCCTGACATCACCAGAAGTGTGGCAGAAGGCAACACCCACCGCTCAGGTTCCACTGGACTGTTTTGGATTGCTAGCTATTGGGGGGAGGAATGTGCAGATCTGTCCTCGCAGAGGAGGGAGAGCTTGTACCTGAATAAAACTTGGTCTTAAAGGTGCCACTGGACTGTTTTGGGCCCCGGGGGGGGGCTCTGGAACTTACCTGGCTGCTTCTTGCTCTGACTGAGGGCTGCTGGGAGCAGGGGGTGGGGCTTGTTGCATGTGCCCACCCCCTGGGTTCTTTACTGCCGGAGCTCCGCTCCTGTGCGCTCCTGCAGGAAATGACCCCTGATGCTAGGAAAAGTTAAAGGCAGCAAGAAAAGAGGAAGGCCCAACATGAGATGGATCGACTCAAGAAAGGAAGCCACAGGGGCCCTCAGGTTGCAAGGCCTGATCAAGGCAGTTAACGAGAGGAAGTAATGAAGGCCGTTCATATGGTTGTCATAAATCGGAAGTGACTTGCCGGGACATAACACAAACTCAGCATTTGCCAGTATAGGCGTTATTCGTACCTTTGAAAACCCATTTTTATCATGCTCTGTCACTTCAGGCACCGCTAGCACAGAATGCGACTAATGCGTTCATTAAATAAAAGTCAGGGAAGGGGAGAGCCGAAGGGGCGTAGCACAAGCCTACTAGCAGTCGGAGATTTTGTTCAGCGGGAAAGGAGGGAGGGAGCCGTGAGCCAGCCTTCTTAACCCTGCCCGTTTATTCCCGTGTTTTGCAGATGGCATCGTGAAGGTCTCCGGCGCCATGAAGTCTAAGGACGGGACGGTGTGCGGGTTTTTAGAACGTAGGTCCTTCTTGGTCCTTCTTTCAGTCCACCGCATCCCCCCCCCCCCCCCCGGTCATTTTGGTAACCTTCCGCACAGCCCCAGTCAGCTGCAGGCGACTGGGTGTTTTTTTTTGGACGTGATGGCAAAGCTTTAGTACTCCAGATACGTCTGGCGATGTGTTCATGTTAAGTCGCTCGCTGAACAAAGAAGTCAGAGAGTGATTCAGCAAAGAGGTAGCTTTGTTCATCAACTCGAACACAACTCCAACACGGATCGACGTCAGGTAGCCAGAACAGCTTTTGCATTAAAGCTGTTCCCTTTATAAACTCTCCCGGCTAATATAGCCACGCCTTTACTGTACATTATCAACCAATGAGATTGTCTTCATAAGGGCCAATCATCGACGTTCCTGCTCAGGGAGCTTGCTGATGTGCGATTGGTCGGTTCTTCCTGGGCTAGCCATGCGATTGGGTGCATGAGGATCCTAGCCCAGGACAAAGCTTAAGATTGCTTTTCTATGAGGTTGATTCGCATACATGTTTAGGCATTCAGTGACAGCTGTTGAATACACTACAGTTCACATCTTTGGCTAATCACTGTTCAGAAGCAAAAGCAGGCCCGTAGCCAGGATTTTTAAGTCGGGGGGCATTTAAATTTCTTAGGGGGCACTGGCTAATTGATACCTGGCTCCTTCCCTGCACCTCGGGGGCCCTGGGCTGGATGGGAAGTCGTGGGGCCTTGCCCGTAAGTCCGGGGGCCCAGCCCCGAGATGCCCCCCCTCGGAGCTACGGGCCTGAGCAAAAGTCCACCACCGTGAAAGAGGGGTGGTCTGGGACCATGCATCGTGT